TTTATTTTTTTTAAGATGAAGTCAAGTAGCGTTTACAGAGATGAGTTTTCAGCTGTCGCTTGAAAATTGTCAGGGATTCAGCATTCCGGATAGGGGTGGGAAGATCATTCCACCAGCCAGGAATGGTGAACGAGAATGTTCTGGAAAGTGATTTTTGAGCCTCTCTGTGATGGTACCACGAGGCGTCGCTCACTAGCAGATCTCAGACTTCTGGAGGGGATGTAGATTCGTAGTAGTGAGTGGAAGTAGGCGGGTGCTGAGTCTGTGGCTGTTCTATATGCAAGCATCAATGTCTTGAACTTGATTCGAGCCGCAACCGGTAGCCAGTGCAAGGAGATAAAGGGAGGTGTAACATGGGTTCTTTTGGGCTCGTTGAAGACCAGTCGTGCCGCTGCATTCTGAATCATTTGTAAAGGTTTGATTGTGCTTGATGGAAGTCCAGCCAGAAGAGCATTGCAGTAGTGCAGCCTAGAAATGACAAGGGCCTGGACAAGAAGTTTTGCAGCATGCTCCGTTAGAAAGGGCTTGATTTTTTCTGATGTTGTGCAATGCAAACCTGCATCATCGAGCAGTCTTTGCAATGTGGTCTTTGAAGGTCAGCTGGTCATCTTTGCAACTTTACAGATCTTCTTTATGCACCAAGAGCTTGTAACACTCCAAAGAGAAAGGAAAAATTGAGATCGCATCATATGACCCCTTTAATTTGTGTTCCGAATATGAATGAAGGTCTTACGGGTTTGAAACAACATGAGGGTGAGTAATTAATGACAGAATTTTCATTTTTGGGTGAACTAACCCTTAATGAAATGTCTATAACATACTTTGGTTAAAATTTCTCAATGGTAGTGTAAAACAACACCCTTTTTATTCTGTCAAAAACAGTTCTGTTCACAGCAAGCTGTTTTAGTGCATGTTTCTTTAAATGCTAATGAGCTCTGCTCACCCCTCCCCTCTCTTCCATTGGGTGACTAGCCGTTCTCATTAGACTGTTTACTTTAGCGCATTTAGCCACAAAACTTGGCCCCCAGTGACCAGTTGATGTGCTTTGGATACCTCCCCTCCCCAGGCCACCCTGAAAGACCTACCAGTGAGATAGGAGCCTTTCTTGTCTACTCCTGCTCTGGCGTCAAAACAATGGCGGACTGGTGACAGCTCACTCAGGGCGGGTCGAAGGTAAAACGATAGTGTCAATCAACAATCGTGAGAGGGGCCTGGGTCTGTGTGACGTCACATAGCCAAGAAGCTGAGAACGGCTTGATTTGAGAAAGGGGTTATTATTTATAGGGATTAAAAAAAACACTGAGTGGATTTTTATCATTATAGGGTGGATGTGTACAAACACTACCAACACACACATTTATGTTCAAACATGTAAAAGTGAATTTTGCATCCGATGACCCCTTTAAGTTTTAATTTACTCCACAAATGTCAAGCATCTCAAACACATTCAGTGGATTAAAAAAAAAAATCATTATTTTTTTTAAAAGATGGGGTCATACCATTTGACCACTAAATAACTTTGCCAGATAGTACTACTACAAAATACATTTACACATTTTTCTAATTTGTCTTTTGTTCTTTATTAAGGTAAAAAATAATGGTAAGTTTTAATATAATTTATCATCTATTTCAGTTGTTCATGGACAAGGCAGGCAACATATATGAGATCATGTGAATAATACATCCCATAACTCACGCAAATTACAAAAATATATATTAATTACAACACAGGATTTGTTTCTTCAGACATGCGGTTGACATACTGGCGTCACAGACTGAAATTACTTGATAAAACTGGTTTCTCAGTGCTCAGCTCCTGTGTGGTTGTGGTGTAATGCTAACTATTACAAGTAGTACTTCCTCAAACTTGTCTTGCAGACAAAAGTGTGTTTAAAGTGTTTAGAATGATACATCTTTTGTGTTTGAATAAAATATGCATGTTTCCAATTATTCTGTCTGCAAATGTATTAATATTTTAACTTTTTACACATTTTTTTTCAAATGATTCACCCAATTTACACACATCTAAGGTGGGTTCACATCTAAGGTTTTACCTTATCAGAGCACTCAGAGGCTCTGATCTTCATTTCTGCATGGGCATCATTAGTGCTGTGACCGTCCTTGGAGACCCAGACATCTGCAGGCCTCACTGGACAGCACCCAGGAGACCTGATCCTCAATTACCAAATCAAATACCATAAAGAGCAGCAGATGCCTATGGAATGATATCAGTGAATGTCTTAAATGTGTTTGAGAGAGAGAGAGAGAGGGGGGTCCATATGCACACTAGCTGCTGACTCTGTGTACTTCTGAGGGCGGATTGAATGTTTGTGTGTATCTAAGCTGCTTGAGGTGTGTGATCTTACCCTCTCTAGGAGTTGAACTTAAAATGACCTTCATCTCATAAAACATCTCACATATACATGACCTTTAAAATGTTACATAACAGTAACCCCTATCCAAACACATTTCTAGGAATTTAAAATCTGACCACAGATCAGGTGTTGATGATTGAATGGAGGCTTCTGATATGTTCTGGAAAGGGAAATGAGCTTTCTATTAATGTTATTCTCATTTCAGACGGTCAATAAGGACGATCAACATGATGAACTAGATGATACTAAGACATGTAGGATAAATAAATAAATATAATTAAATTTTTTTAGAAATGCATTTTTTAAAGTTGGGATTCACAAATGTGAAGAGGCCATCCAAAAAAAACAAAAACATGAAAGTGAGCTTGTTATTTGTAAACATACGTTTTCAAATATATTCAGTGCATTAAAAATAATAATGTTTTAACGTGGGGTAATAATGATGTCATAATAATAATAATACTTATTCTTCTTAAGATTACTACTATTGCAACATAATTTAAAGACATGTGAGTGCTTATTTTATATACATATATACACACACACACACAAACATTTATAAATTGTTTTTTAATATCTATCTGTCTATATATATAATTGAATTAGTGTAATATTATTATTATTAATTCTATAAGTCTATAAACTAAAGACACTGTTATTTTCTTACATAATTACTTAAATGTATTCAATTCATTTATTAAAAATGCATTTTTAAAGTTTGGAGTACTGAACAAGTAATAATAATAATAATAATTGAACACACTTTGTGTGTGTGTATATGAATGACATCAAATAGGTTAATAAGCATCTAGAATAAACAAAGAAACATTACAACAATTTTTGATATCTTTTTTAATAAAATCTGCACACATAATTGCATTTAGTACATTATAAAATAAAAGAATATATAGAAGATTTCAAAGAAATAACTGAGTCAAGAAAACAAAACATGAGTTTTCTCATTGTCATCACCAACGTAAAAGAAAGAGGAAAGACAGAAGAGTTTGGAAAGCTCCAAATAAACAAGGCCTCAATGTGGGGTTGCTGTGGAAATCGCAAGGGGTGTGAAATTAAATGCACCTTTGCATATAAAGAAAATAACTGAAGGCCTCCAAGTCAAAAGAAAAGAACTTAAGGTGAACAGTATTTAAGTAAAACGCACTGGTTTCTCCTTCATTTGTTGTGTTCTCTGACTAGCATTCAGATGCAGTATCAGAGAGGTTGATGATGGGGTAACTGTGTCACAGTTGTGCAGGAGACCAGCTAATCCCCATGTCGATCGCTATCACCTGTCTCCAGGTGTGGGTCATCACCACCCTTTAATCACATGACCCACAGTAAGGCCACACCCGGGCAACGGGTCTGTGAGTCAGCGGCCAGTCTGAGCATAACACGCAAAAAAAGCTTAAAAACGAAAGCAGAAAGAGTACAAGTGAATGGGGGGTAAACAGTTGTTTTCTTTATGCAATTGTTCTGATACATTGTTGTTCTTTTTTTGGCACAATCTAATTGGACTGTGGTGTGGAACCTCAGCCTGACCCTTCATCTTGCTTGAGTTCATTTGGACAGGGATTTCTTAATCTGCTCCACTTCCATCTATAAAAGAGAGCATAAAACAAAGACACGGCCTGTTAAACGCAGTCACGGGAAATAGAAATGAAATAAAACATGCTTAACATTATATATCAGCAAGATTGTTTAATGTTCGAGAATCAAGAGACCAAGGGCTAGATTTACTAACAGCTTGCGTCAGCGCAAACCGTCGTTTGGTGTTAAAATAGAACTGTCAGGATTTACTAAAGATGCACAGTGAAGAATTAGCGCTGAAAAGGCGTGGACAGTTATTTTTGCGCCTGAACTTGTTGAATATGCATTTGTGGGAGTGTCCCTTTCAGTTGCAAAATTTATGGGAGGAGAGTATTTAAATGAATCACGCAACACAATTTACTAATGTTTCAAATTACTAGTATTTGGGCCATTATTTAACGCCCAAAAAAGCACGTCTTAAACTATTTTGTGAGCATCGGCTCTGCTTATTTGCGACTACGCTAATTTGGTCGATATGTAAATGAGATGTTGCGTTTGTGTTCTTTAATTTGCACGTTGTCAGTAAATCACCTGCAGAAATTTCCATGCCCATTGACGCTGTTTTGGAATTGCGCTCTTGCGCTAATTTGCCCTGTTTAGTAAATCTGGCACCAAGGCTACATTTATTTGATCAAATAATACAGTAAAATCAGTAATATTATGAAATATGAAGTAAATCTTTAAAGTTTTATACTTGTAATGTAACTTTACTGAATGAAAGTACTCCAATCTTTTGAATGGTAGTCTAAGAATTATTATTATTTTTTAAATATTAACAAAATTGCTGAATTTAAATTACATACATTACTTACTCAAAATTTTGTAAAATATTAAAAAATAGAAAATACAGTTGTTAGTCAGTTCAGCATATCTCAATATCTTAATATGAACGAATTACTTAATTAAATAATAACATTAAAATGATAAATAAAATATTAAATGTCAAAATTAATGATATTTATAATACCTTTTTAAAAATAATAATAATAATAATAATAATAGCAACAACACATATTTGGCTGGTTAAGATTGTTTTAATTACTATAAAAAGGTGTTGCACCTGGTTAGAGCTACGTTTATGACAAGTATAATGCCTCCTTACCTGCAGTGATATGCGAATCCTCTTCTCCTCATCCAGTTCACTCACCAGCTGTTTGATTTCTTGTCTGAGAAAACAAATTTGAGAATTAACACACATTTCACAGGCATCAATCAATCAACTCGTTCTCCCCACATCTAATTTCCTTCTAAACTTCCCTCCACTTCTACTTCACTCTGTCTTTCATCTAACCCCCTGTCCCGTCAGTTCATACTTGTGCTGGCTCTTCATGAGCTCCACAGTTCCTTTCAGGTCTCGTAATTGTGCTCTGAGCTCCTCCAGTGTTGCGGCACCCTGTTCGTTTTTCACTCGGACGTCAACGGAAGGGGAATGGGGCCGCAGACCAGCGCTGCCCTGGTGGAGAGAAGCCCCTCCGGACCCAGAAGATGATGGAGGGGCACTGGGCTTAGGGGGCAAAGATGATTTTTCAGGAACCTGTGGAAAACCCCCATGAGATATCAGAACAAGAGCATATCCAATCACATTTATTCTGTTTATCTTCCATTTCAGGCTGTTCCACAGGGCCTCAGTCTCTCTGTGTGTGTGTATATACAGTATAGTGGCACCATAAAGTATTTGCACACTTAAAGGGATAGTTCACTCAAAAATTAAAACTCATAAACATTATTTACTCATCCTCGCATCATTTTAAATCTGATTGACATTCTGTGTACTGTGAAATACAAAAGAATATAATTTTGAAGAACTGCTGTCCATTGAAAGTCAGTGGGGTCCAAAACAACACAGAGTGCGGCAGGGATTATGTATTTCTCCTCCTTTCCCATCTCCTTGTCTCTCCTCTCCTCCTCTGGAGATGGGGAGTCCAGGAGGTCAGGACTAGAGAGAGAGGACTAAGGAGGAGAGGGATTTTTAAATGATCGTGACCAGATAACCCACAGACAGGCGAAGCAGGGCAAGCCCATGTGACATTCACACATAGCAAATAGCACAATCATATCTGACGGATTTACGTTGAACACCTGAATTTACAAATTTATGAGACATCGTCAGCTGATTGCATCTGATAGGTGTGAAACCACCAAATGTGATTAACTTGACACATTAATTGGTTAAAAATAATAACAAACAAGCATGTTTATGTTGTGTGGTAGGGTTATTATACAGTAGTCAACATTTGAAGTGGATCAAAAAAGTTCAAAATAGCAAGAATGGCTATTGTTTTGGTTTTAGGACAACTTCGATGAAAGGTTTTGATCCACTTCAAATGTTGACTACTATAGTTAACTAAAACTAAAAACTACGATTTTTGTTATCTGAAAAAAAAAAAAAACTGTTGCCAAAGCAATGCTTCTTATTTTCATTTAGTTTAACTTGATGTACTAAAATAGCTAAAATAAAAACGAATAAATATTAATTAATATTTAAAAGAAATTAATAAATATATAATACATATGTCTATTTTTAATAGGGCTGCACCCTAATAGTTGACGAGAAGAGGCTTGGTCGACCAAAATTTTATTAGTCGCAGAAAAAAAAATTCCACAGAATGTGACGAAGTCACGCAGTCAGTGACGGACAGATCGTTAACGGTTGGTGTTTGTGGTAATACAGTACATCGGGCAGGACATCCAAACGCTCACCTATCATTCATCAACCTCAAATATGGCTTTTCATCTGAAAGATGTATGTAGTAGCAACTTTACATGACCGCTCAATCTAATGTAAACCTAGAAAAATGTGCGCTATTAGGAGTGTAGAAGCTTAAACAGTTGCGCGCTTTACTGCATGACAGATGGAGGCGCTGGTGCGCTCACTTGCTCTTAAAATACTCCCTCATTTTTGGTCATACAGATAAAAGAAATACATTCTTCGAATCTGTAAAGACTCTACGTTTATTTGTGTGCTTTTGTAAAATAATTAAAGCAAACAGGATGCACTTTCAGCAGTCTCGGTCTGAATCTTTTTATAGTTGAACTTGAGCGTGCCAAAAATAGTAAACCAAAACTCTGTATATAGGCGTCCATTACTACGGAGACGACGAGTCAGTGTCGCCAAATTAATCTCTTAAGCCAAAAACAAAGAAAGCAGTAGTTTATCAATAAATTATTAAAATGTTAATGCAGTCTCCTTGCTGTTTTTCCGAGACACATTCATAATGATTATATCTGCTGGTGTGCTATGGCAAGCTTTATGTGTGCGCTTGAGTGCTTATTAGGCTATGTAGGCAATTAAAGGCTCATTATTATGATTTATATGGTTTATTAATAAACGTCCAACTAATAGCCAACAAATGCTTAAAATGAATGGCTACTAGTCAACCAGAAAAACCTTTAGTGGAGGGCAGCCCCAATTTTTAATATAGACATTAAAGGGGTCATATGATGCGATTTCATTTTTTCCTTTCTCTTTAGAGTGTTACAAGCTTTTGGTGCATAAAGAAGATCTGTAAAGTTGCAAAGACTAAAGTCTCAAATCCAAAGAGATATTCTTTATAAAAGTTAAGAGTTAGCCACACCTACCTAAAACGGCTCGTTCGAACACGCCCCCACATATCTACATCACTATGTGGGAAGATTTGCATAACACCGCCCAAATGTTCACATAAAGAAAGAAGGCGTAACTTTTATTCACGTTGTAGTATTGTTGTTGCCGCCGCCATGTCGTGAAGACGCTGTGTGCTGCGTTGTGAAAGCGAAACTACTTTGTTTGATCTTCCAAAAGAGGACGATATCTGCTTCATCATGCCTGGAGCTGATCCGTGCTGGTCGCTGAGGAAATACATCAACTGCACGCTGTGGATCGCCGGATCGGCTTTCACCGCTCCTTCGTCGGATCCGCCGGGACCGCCGTTCTCGATCCCGCCGCCTCAGCTCACGCTAAGCCGGGGCTTCCGCTCACGCTAGCCCGGCCTCAGCTCACGCTAAGCCAGGGCTT